AGTCCCTGGTCATAAATCACAGGAGAAGCCACAGGAAATGAGTACCAGACTTTTCTTTCTATTTAGTAATTTATCAAGGGAAGAGGCACATTAATAAACATATTTCCCTTGAGGGGTGGGAATAACGGAGATGAATATCACTGTCAGATTTGGCCTGTTTCCTCTTGTTAGGGGCGCATGAGAGGGTGGGAATCCAAATATTAGCAGCAAAATCTTTTTTAAAAAATGTTACAAAGTGTTTTCTTACTTTATGTGATGGTAGATCTTTTCCTCCCTCATATTTCCTCGTTGGCCACTCGGTTCATAAGTAATAGGAGTCTTTAGGAAGGTTCACTTTTGGGTCTCACTTTGGATTTCCTTTGAGTGAGGATTGACGAGGAGTGAACACAGTAGATGAGAACTGAGAAGCGTGGAGGATGCCCGAGTGGACGGGTGACTGACCGTTTGGTGCACACGTCCTCCTGTGTGGCCCGGCTTGCTGTCCTTTGCTCCATCATTGCTCCAGGCCCACCCTGCCCGTCGGAACAGTCCTCCTGGCCCTAAAGCAGCTGTGCTCATTGGCGGTCTCATTTTGGAAGGGCTGCTGGGTTTCAGGCACTATGCTTGGTGCTCTCATGCGTCCTCAGAACAGCCCTGCAGGCCAAGCCACGCTGCCCCCTTGTACAGACGGGTAAAGAGAGGCCCGGGGGCCTGAGTCATGTGCCCCAAGGCAGCCACTCAGCGTCAGGCTCGGTGTGGCCTGCCAGCACAGGCGCTGTGCCCCCACATGGTGTGTGTATGTGTCTGTCTGCCCCACCCTCCCAGGACAGCCCTCCCTGAGATGCCTCTCCTCCCCGCCCTGAGCAGAGGCAGTGTGGCGGGTGGTATTAGTGGCCATCTGCCTGCCTTCCCATCTGTTTCTCCACGTCCCCTGGCTATATGGCCTTGGGTATTGTCATTTGTAAAATGCGGATAATAATACTCCCTTCCTTATAGGACAGTTGTGAAGAATAAACTGCTTAATACTGTAAAGTGCTTAGAACTGTACCTGGCACCTGTGGGGCGTTCAGTCAGTGCTGACTTTCGGTGGCTGTGATTCTGCCCTCCCTCAACAACCCACGCCTGCACCGTTTGCTCAGCATGTAGCATCTCCCACCTTGGCCTCGCCACCGAGGCGGCCGTATTCAAGTGTTGGGATATAATGGTGAGTCCCTCATTCCTAAAGGTGGGAGAGACAGCAGCAACCGGATAACCACACAGGTGATGCACTCTCACCAGTACGACAGCTGTTTAGAGAGAGAGGACCGTGTGCTGGAGAGAGTCCCGGGGACCTGCCCAAATCGAGGAGGTCAGGCATGGTTTCCTGGGAAGATGATGACACGGCTGAGATCTCAACCCAGAGAGGAGGGAAGAACAGTGCAGAGGAAGCTGGATGTGCAAAGGCCCTGTGCAGGAGGGCAGGGGACATGACGGGGAGCTGGAAGGAGCAGAGTAGGGGACAAGGGCAAGATGAAGCTGAAGAGGTGGGCAGGGGTCATAGGGCCACCGTGTAAGCCATGCTGAGGATGTGGGCCTTTTTCCTAATAGCAGTGGGGAGCTTTGGAAGGCTTTGGGGTGGGGGGGCTTGGGGACATGACCCGATGTGCAAGTTGAAAAGCACTCTGTGGCCACAGTGAGGAATGTGGATTGGACAGCAGTTAGCTAAGGGCCCTGGGATGCCCGGGCTGCTGGTGGGCAAGGCTGGGCTGGGCCTGTAGAGGGCTTCAGGGGCAGACTCAGCCGTGAAGGAGGTGAGCAGGGGGAGGAGTCAGGCCAACTCCCTTGGTCCCGGCTCTGATGCTGTATGGGTGGTGGGCACCCGCCGAGCTTGGCCCTGCAGGAGACGGGGAGTGTGGGGCTGGGTCAGCTGAGCCTGAGCTGCCCTCAGACCCGGGAGGCCAAGTGAGCAGCTGGCTGTTAGGAAGTTCATTATTCAGAGCCACTTAAAGTGGGGAGTGAAAAGCCATTCCTGGAGAGAGAGTGTCTCCCTGGCCCCACCTCTCTGAGATAGACCATGAGGACACAGAGTGCCCAGAAAACCCACACATCAGGGCTCCTTCGGACCCGGGTTCCAATCCTGCCCCTGAGCAAGTCACTAACCTCCCCAAACCTAGTTTTCTCATCTGCAAACCTGGGTTTGCATCTCAGAGGGTGTTGGCAGCTGTTAATCAAGACAGTGGGTCTAAACGTCACTAAACGGCAGCTGTCGCTGTGTTAGTAGTCACTCCAGAACTCAGAGGCAGGCACTTAGCCAATACCACACCAGAAGGACACACGCCATCTCTAGTTGCTGATAGTTGCTGACCCCCCAGGACGTATCTGTGTGTCGTCTGGGATGCTTGTTGAGAGCGTGGTTGTATTTGCAGTGCAGCCTCAGTGCCCGCTGGGGAGTGGGCCTGCGCTGTCGGGCCTGGCGAGGCAGGGCGTGGTTGGGCATCCTCTGTCACTAGGCGTGTGGGCTGAGATCCTTCCTGCTGCAACAGAAAGGTGGCGTTGTCTGAGTGTGTCACCTGCTGGCCTGGATGCCGGCTGCACTCCCAGGCTCCTCTGTGGGGCAGAGCGAGCCAGCATCTCCCAAAGCATCTATGGAGCGCCTTCTGTGTACCCACTATACCTCTGCTTGCTAAACGGTCTGTGAGCCCCAGTCCTCAGAACCCAACAAAATAAACAGACAGCCAAAACAAACACTTGAGCTGACAAGGATGTTCAAGGAAAAGAATACTCTGAGTAGCTCACCTTTTTCTTCCAACTGGGAGCTTTCCTAAGAGGACTTCATCCTTCTTGTTGAAAACAAAGTATACGGTCACCTGGGCCCTACAGTTGTAGGGCATTTCCGAGTGCACAGGCCACCTCAGCATCTGTCATCCCATAGGATCACAACAACCTATGCTGGCAGGGGACCCATGTTTATGCTCAGGTCACTGATGGAGATTCTCAATCTCCCACAAGTTATGCAATTTTCCCCAAGCTGTGCAGCTGACCTGTGGCTCCAGCCTGTGTGTACCCTCCCCCACCCCATACGGCTGCTGGTCCAGCCCAGGTCTCTGTCTCTGCGCCCAGAGCCTCTCATCCACGAAGGAGATGGTTAGGAGATAAAACTGTGGAATCCCTTTCCAGCTGAGGATTCTGGGGCCTCCTCTGTCCTCTCCACAGCCTTGGAGAGATGTTTCTCCCAGTGGCCCAGCACTAAAGGGGCTTCCCAGGTTTGCTAGCCAAGGGTGGAGGGTTGGGGAGGGCCGGGGCTGGTTGCCCCCCAGAGCCCAGCAGTGGATGGATCCCAGGTGGGAGGCAGCGGGGCGGGGGCTCAGCTGGGGCTTCTTCAGTTGGTGGCTGTGGGCTCTGTGCACTCACACAGGCCAAATGTGCCCCGAGCTTTCTCTGGGGCCAGTTGGTACTGGGGATGGGGGCTCAGAGATTCGCAGGCCATCACTCCTGCCCCGAAGGAGTGGAAGTGGGCAGGGCCAGCGGGGCACAGGAAGAGGCTCTTCTGTGCAGTTATCCAGGAATGTAGGGGCACGGCCGAGCATTTACGTGCCCCCACTGTGTGCCAGGTGCGTCTCACACATCGCCTGATTTACTGCTCACCACAGCCCTGGAGGTCGGCAGTAGTAGACCCTTTTACAAAGAGGGAACGGGCTCGGGGAGGGTCTGGAGAGGGCAGAAACCTTGGCGTGTGGAGAGTTGTCCAGTGATGTTGTCAGACCATTCCTAGGCTGCTGTTTGTCCAGAGGAGAGACCCAGAACCCTGATGGGGGAGGAGGGCCTGTAAAGAGGAACAGTCTGGAGCCATGTGGGAGAGCCTGTGGCCCTGGGTGCAGGGAGCCCCGGTCTGGGCCAGGCCCTCTCCCCTTCCCGCAGTCACGTCTGTACGTATGGACGAGGGTGGGAGCATACCCAAGAGAGTGGTCAGATGGGGCGGATGGGGTCTGTGTGTGCATGTGTGTGTGTATGTGGGTGTGTGTGTGTGTGCATGTGTGGGGAGGGTTGCCGGTACATGCGCATGTGTTTAAGGCAACAGGTTTCCCGAGCCCCAGGAGACTCCAGAACTGAAGGGCCTCAGTGGTGGAGGGTCATCTGCGTGTGCCCGGGCCGCCTCCCGCTGCTGCTCCCTGCATCCACCCCGCCTCGTCGGCAGCCTCCCCAGAGAACCAGCCAAAGGCCTGGACATTGTGCTGGGAGCCTCGGGGCAGCCCTCCAGGCGTCTGCTCAGCAAGTGCCCTCTCTGGGGGCATTTAGGGTGATCCTGTTGCAACGTGATCCATGACCCTGGAACACTTACCTCCTTTCACTCTCCTCCCCCTGGAACCGTCGCCCAGTGGAATTCTCTACAGCAAATAAAAAAGCCAGTTACTGCCACACTCAACAGCATGGAGACATCTCACAAACTGATAATGTTAGATGAAAGAAGCTGGATAAGAAAGAGTATTTATAATTCCATTTACATAATGGTCAAATACTCAAAACTAGGCAACACTGGGTATTAGAAGCCAGAACAGTGGCTGTCCTTGGGGTGGGTCCAGAAGGGGCAGAAGGGGCGTCAAACACTGGCCACGCCCTGTGTTTTGACCTGGTGCTGGCTTCATGGGGGGGTTGGCTCTGTGAGAGGCCACTGAGCTTATGGTCTGTGCACTGTGCTGCCATGCCTTAAGCCTCGCAGGATCCAGCCCTGGTCTCAGCATACCTAATGGTAAAGGCGCTGACATATGTTCAGTGCTCACATTCGCTCACTCAAGCACAGGCCCTGTGCTTCTCAAATCCTCACCACACCCTGTCTGGATCAGTCCCACATTACAGATGAGCAAACCGAGGCTGAGAGAAACCATCCCTTGCCCAAGAGCCTGCAGCTGGAAAGTGGCAGAACCCAGATTCCCATTAGACCATCCTCACAGGCTCTTCCTGTCCCCCACCTACCAGTCCTCCATCTACCAGTCCACCAAACACGGGGGTGATGCTGACGGGCCTTGGGTTGGGTGTCCCCACAGTGTCACGTTTCTCCAGCCCACGGGTGACACCCCGTCTCAGCCGCAAGCGGGCGCTGTCCATCTCCCCGCTCTCGGACGCCAGCCTTGACCTGCAGCGGATGATCCGGACCTCGCCCAACTCGCTGGTGGCCTACATCAACAACTCGCGCAGCAGCTCGGCGGCCAGCGGCTCCTATGGGCACCTGTCGGCGGGCGCCCTCAGGTGAGCCCAGCCTGCAAGCAGAGGGCCAAGGATTGGGATCTGGGCTGGGGGCCAAGGAGGGAGGGTCCGCCCTTTTAACCTGAGGAGAAAGATGGGACTTGTTGATTTGTGAATCGGTATACTTGCAACTTTTTCATGAATTAGAAACCAATAAGGATGAAATTGAAACGTGCCAACATTGAGTACGTCTTCACGTGCTCGTTATTCCTCCTCCAAATACAGTTTCTGATGAGACGAGGAGCACTTACTGGGCCTGTCATGCAAGGTTAGATCGTGAAATCAAAGGTGGCTGTCGTGGTGTTTCAGTAGGTGTCCTGGAGCAGCCAGGCCGTTGACCAGCAGTGGTGGCCGCACGAGGCGTGACACGGACTTGGGCCACACCAGTCTCTGGGCTGGCAGCAGGCCTCCACTGTGGTCACAGCATGGCACACCCAACCTCATCAGCACCATTCACCTTTGTCCCCTCTGTGCAGCCCTTGACTGTTCTAAGGACTGAGACCTCAACCAACTTGACTGAAACTCATGTCCTTCCCCTGACCCTCTTGAGGGAAGCCGGGAGGTGTTAGGAATGTCAGGAGACTCGGCCCAAGGACCCAGAGACAGAAGTGATAAGAAGGATTTTAGTTATCTTTTGCTGTATAATAAATTACTCCAAAACTTAGCAGTTTAAAACAACAATATGCATTTATCATCTCACACCATGTCTCTGGGTCAGGAACGTGAGACTGGCTTAGCTCTGGGTCACATGAGGTTGTAATCAAGGCCGTGGTCACCCGAAGACGACTGGGCCTAGGATCTGTTTCCAAGGTGGCTCACTCACATGGCTGTTGGCAAGAGCTTTAGTTTCTCCTTCCGGGAGCCTCTCCATTAGCCTGCTGGAGCGTCCTCACAACATGCCAGCTGCCTCCCCACTCCTACTGCCCCCAGAGCAAATGATCCAAGAGAAAGCAAGGAGGAAGCCACAATGTCTTTTATGGCTCAGCCTCAGAGGTCACCGTTGTTTCCTGAGGATCCTGTTCTGGAAAGAGTGGCTCATGTGCAAGTGGCATGATAGAGCCTAGAAGTGCAGTAGAAGTTAAAGAAGAGAGAGGGTGATGTGAGTTGGAGGGCCTGGGGCACACTTGCTGGACAAGGGGGCATTCAAACCAGCTTTAGGGGCTGAATGGGGTTCAGATAATCAGGAGCAGTGAGGCAGGGGTGCATCTCAGGTGTGAAGGGCCAGGGTGTGGGGATAAGATGGAGCCTGGCACCTCCTAGCGGCCAATCTGCCAGGGATGAAGCCTGCCTCCTGGGGCAGGGCAGCGGGGCTAAGCACAGAAGGTGAGGCCTGAGGTGGCAGGCAGTGGGGAGCCACTGCTGGTTCTTGGGCAAGGTAAAGCCATGGTGACAGTGAGATGAGCAACATGGCTGTCCTAATCCCTGGGCAGGGTCCTCTCTGCCCAGCAAGTGTTAGCCTCACAGAACTCTTGACCACCCACCTCCGCTCCATTACCTTGTCTGCTCTTCTTTGCAGCCCAGCCTTCACCTTCCCCCACCCCCTCAACCCCGTGGCCTACCAGCAAATCCTGAGCCAGCAGAGGGGCCTGGGCTCGGCCTTCGGACACACGCCGCCCCTGATCCAGCCCTCGCCCACCTTCCTGGCCCAGCAGCCTATGGCCCTCGCCTCCATCAATGCCACGCCCACCCAGCTCAGCAGCAGCAGCAACTGTCTGAGTGACGCCAACCAGGTAGGTGGGTGCAGGGAGCAGAGGATGGGCCAGCAGGTGCTCATCTGGACCCCACGAGGACTGTTCCTGAGGGGAACTTGTGGAGGATCTTGGCACAGATCTGGCTGGTGGGATGCCTTCTGGGCAGTGGCCACATGATCCAAAGGGCCTTGGTCTGGGTCAGGAGACCTGGGCTTGGCGCTAACACCACCCTCACTCACCACGGGCAAGCGCCCAGCCTCAGTTCTGCCATCTCCTGTCCAATGGATGCAACGAGTAGATAAAGAAACCCTAGAATTCACAGAGTCTGGTGTAGTGTGGGTACTCCATGCACAGCATTTGAAATGGATGGATTAATGGATAATAAATAATATTGTGCAATTTGGTTTTAGAGCATGAGTTTACCAAAGGCCATCTTATTTGACCTTTTGAACGGGCCTTTGTGGCATGCCTGGGCACACTCGCACAGTGCCTGGCACACACTAGGTGCCATCAGTATTTGGTGAATGAATGAAGTCCTGTTGTGCAGATGAGGAAATGGAGTTAAAGAGACAGTACCAGAAAGTGGAAAGGGCACAGACCATGTTTTTGACCCTAACTTGCCCGAAAGTGGCAAGTCTCTTTACCTCTCTCAGCCTGAGCTAACACGTCTGCAAAGTGGGGCCTGCCGCGTACACGGGGTTGTTTTGCATGTACACAAGCTAATGTGTGCACAGGGCCCCGTGTAGACCTGGATCCTGTTAGTACTCATGATGACAATTCTTGAGATGAAGCAACCCCCAGGCCATCTACCTGGCAAGGCAGGCCTGGATGTGACCACGTGCTGGCGAGGAAGACAAGACACCACCCAGTCTAGAAGTGGCTGTCTTCAGGACATCTTCCTCCTCCAGCCCAGGGCTGCAGGCAGTCACCAGGCACCTCCCCCCAGACAGTGGCTATCGGCCTTTGTCACATCACCTGATACTGCAGCTCCAGACCCTCCTCACCTCCTCCCTGGGCTGGCTGGGCCCTGATCCCCTCAGACCCAGAGCCGCCCCTGCTCTGGAGGGCCGAGAAGTTGAGGCCGTCGGGACCAGAACGAGGGCGACCAGCATTTCCCAGAGAGAGCATCTCAGTTCCATTTCCCTGTAATCAACGTGGTGGAGGTGGGGGCTGCATGGCGGGGAGGAAGGTGCTGGCAGGCCGAGCTCTGGGCTCTCTCCTGGCTGTGCCCTTGGCCAAAGGACCGAGCTGAGGGGACTCGTTTTCTGAAACTTCAAACTGCAGGATTGGCCCAGATGGTCTGTGTGGGGAGGGTCCCAGAGGTAAAGCCCAAACATAATTTGGGGTATCCCCACCCTGCCTCCGTGTGACGGGCTCCCCTGTGCATCTTCCCTCAGAACAAGCCGAGCAGCGAGTCAGCCGTGAGCAGCACCGTCAACCCCATCGTCATTCATAAGCGCAGCAAAGTCAAGACCGAGGCCGAGGGCTTGCGGCCAGCCTCCCCGTTGACCCTGACGCAGGTAACCCGCTAGCCGTCCTGGCGGCCTCGGGCTGGGGCCAGGCCTCGTCTCCTCTGGGTCGGCTGACTTGGGACCACGACCCTTTTTGTGAATGGATGAACAGATGGGTGCCTGCATGATGAGTGAACCAGAGAGGGCAGGGTGGGTGCAACGTGAGCTCCGGGACGACCAGAGCTGGGTCCCCAACAGCCTGCATGTGCTACCTGCTCATCCAACACCTGCTGAGTGAATGAATGAATGAATGAATGCATGTCTAGGGCTGCATCACCTCTCTCCCCGTTCCTCACCCTCACGCAGCACGAGCCCCAGCCAAACTGAGTTGCTCATGTCTCCGAATGGCTCAGGCCCCTGTCCAGCTGCTCCCTCCCCCTGGAACTTCATTCCCTACCCACCCCCTTCACCACCACTTCAGCCTTTCCTGACCCTCCTGGATAATAGGACTCACATTTGCCCAGGCGCCCCTCCTAGCCCCGGGGTCACTGCGTCTGTCTCCGGCACTGCACTGTAAGCTTTGGAGAGGTGGCACTTTGGGACAAGTGGGACTTGGCTCCACATCACCAGGGTTTTCACAGGGCCTGGTGCGTGGTGGCTGTGAAATAATAGTTTCTTATGACTCGATGCACATTTGAGGAGGTGAGTGGTGCAGGGAGGGGTGGGAAGGGAAGATGATTCCTGGCAGGAAGGCAAGGGACAGAGCAGCCCACAGCCCAGGATGGGCCTGTTGCGGGGCTGAGACCTTTATGCAGGTCCCTTTGGAGATCCTGCCACTTATTCCAACACTGCAAGACAGCAGGCAGACAGTCCCAGCTCTTGGAGCAGAGGCCTGTCGGAGAAGGGCGCAGTGTGCGTACCAATCTTGCCGGCAAGTCTCCCACCCCCTAAGCCTCTCATGGTGGCCTGGTCCCCATCCTTTACTACAGAATCACTAGCTTTGACACCAAGGATGCTCAGGGCCTCCTGTCCCCATCTCCCCTACATCTGCTAGACCATCCTTTATCAAACCTGTAAACCGTCGGGCATGCTCTGGGCACTTAATTTTTATGAAATATTGGGTCCTGTTATTGTCAGGCAAACAGAGGGGCTGGTGACAAATTCTTCTCACCTCGCTGACGCCAAAGCATCTCAGCATGATGCATGGTTTCCAGGAGGCCGGCCATCATCGGGGGCTGTGGAAATTGATGAGGACGGCACATATCCAGGGGAGATAAACATGCTGGAGCAGCGAGGACAGGGAGGGGAGGCCAGCGCTGAGCTCCTGGGAGCCCCCTGCCCCGCCCGCTCCAGCCCAGGGGCACCTCACAAAGCCCTCCTGCCTGCCCAGCTTGGCTCCTCACTTCTGTAGGTGGAAAGAAAGCCTTTTATCATGAGGAGGTTGTCACCGTGTCACTCAGTGTCCTGATTCAGCGACCTGACTCATTTGCAAGGTGGATGGGCATGCTTTCCTTTGGCAGAAAATACAGCATAATGAATCCCGACTCTGCTTAAGCTCTGCAAATCATGGGCTAGGATGATGCCCCGCTCGATCTGGAGGCCCTAGTGCGCCCACCGCCTGTGTGCCGTCCTCTGCTCGCACGTCAATCTGGCAGCTTCTTCAAGTCTTCTTTGAAATAAGCAGAGCATGCAGCTTATGAAAATAAAGAGTCTCTTTCCAGTTTTTATGAAAGTGCAGAGTGGGCGTTAGAAGGCCCGAGGACCCCCAGATCTCCCATTGCTGAAGATTCGGAGCAGAAGCACTCCGGCACGTTCCTTTTAATGTGACCCAGTGCTGCCCAATAAATGGACTTAGTGTACAAACGTCCTCATTGTCCTTTTTGGAACACGTGGTTAATTGAAAGGTACTCTGAGAAACAACCAGAAGCCCCTCCTAGAGGAGCCATTGACAGCTCCAGTGGAGTGTGGTCAGGTGTGTGAGTCTGCAGCCGGCCGTGGGGAGTCATGAGGCCGATTTCTGCTCCTAGAAGAGGTCTCAGCATTAGCAGCGAGGCTAGGGGGGGCTGCAGCCTCTGCTTCGCCGAGTCTCTGGAGCCTGTGGCGGCTAGGGCTCTTGACTATGGGGAGGTTGTCCCCCTTTAACTATAAATGTTTTCCTCAGAGGCTCTTTTGACAGACAGAACATTCCTGCTGTTTTGTAGATAGTTTGAAATGTAAAGCAAGTTGTTCTAACATCTGCCTCTTTGCTTGGCTTTGCTCTGAGTCTGCCTGGCAGGTCAGTGGAATACTGGGGAGTCCTTGACATCCTCTGGCGGTCCTCGCTGGGCCTTCCTCCCAACCTGAGCATCTGTGCTTCTCCCTTCCCCCAGCTCCTGGCACCTCCCAGCCTGTCCCCATGTCTTCTGCTCGGATGCTGCCCCTGGCCAGCTCTGTTAGCATCAGCGGGAGTGGGGCAGCCCCATGGGGTTTTTTCTTAGTCTCTTGCTAGTTTGGGAGTAAAAGACTGTGTCCTCTTTGAAAGGATTTCACGCACCTGTGAGCGGGTGAAGGGCTATCTTAGGGGCCTTTCCTTTGCCTCCTGGAGATGGGTACATGTGGGCCCTGTCATGGTCAGGAGACTCAAGCCCAGACCCAGGCTGCCACAAGCTGACTGTGTATTCTGGGGAGGGCGAGTCAGCCGCTCCCTCAGTTTTCCCGGCTGTAAGACAGAAATACAAATGCCCCCATTTTAGGGCTGTTGCAGGGAAGAGTGATGCTGGGAGAGTCTGCGGAGCATTCAGCGTCCACAGCACTGTCCTGGGTGTGAATCCAGGCATGCTGTGTGCCCCTGGGAGGAAAGGACAGGATGAGAGGAAGAGATCTGAAGGGCCAGGCTGGGTGCATGTCGGGTTTTCTCTTGCCTCCAGGCAGGAGCAGACCCCAGACACACTATAAATAAAAATGCCCACACCCCTGAGGCTGCAGGCCCACTCTCACTCCCCCTAGAGGAAACCAAACCAAATAAGCAAAAGTCCCTGCCTGCTTTCTCCTGCTCTTGCCACGTCAGCTGACCCAGGATGTGATGGGACACCTTGGTGATGACAAGCTGGCATTAGAGAGGAGGGAGGGGCCTCAGGAAGGCTGTGTGACAGGAAGAGCGATGGGTAGGAGCCGAGCTGAGGAAAGGGGCTGAGAAAGAGGATTAGCGTGCATGTGTGTGCGCACGTGTATGTACATGTGTGTGCATGTGTGTGTGTGTCCACACCTGAACCAGCCCAGGGTCCTTGGCACAGACTGCATGGGGCTAATAGTGACGTTTCCTCAGGGCCAGGCGGCTGGACATGGCTCATGTGGGTGTGCTCTGCTCCTCCCCCAGGAGCAGCTGGCCGACCTCAAGGAAGACCTAGACAGGGACGACTGTAAGCAGGAGGCCGAGGTGGTCATCTACGAGACCAACTGCCACTGGGAAGACTGCACGAAGGAGTATGACACCCAGGAGCAGCTGGTGCACGTAAGCCTCCGAGCCCCAGCAGCCTGCCCACTGCGGGCAGAGCCCAGGCCACACGGGCCTCAAGCCTTCCGAGCCGTCTGTCAGAGAGGAGGGGCTGGAGGAGGAGGCTCCAGGAGATGCCTGGGCCACATCCTCTACAAGTGGGAGGCATGATTATGTATCTGTGCCCTGCCTGTTTCTAAAAGGGGGCTTACCAATACATATGTAGTACAAGAGATTAAAAGAAAATTAAGTAAATGAGAAAACTAGGAGGAAAGGAACAATAAAATGAAGCCAAGAGTCAAAGTCAAGGTACTATGAAAAACCATGTGCTCTGAGCTGTAGTTCATATGAACAAATCTTTTTTTCTGAGCTTCCTAGCAACCAATGCAAAGCAGGAAATAAGATTAGTTAAACCAGCCAGCATCCACAAGATATAACAAACCTGACCCTGAAACCTGAAAGAAGTTTCCCATGGAGGACAGAATTGGTGATTTCCTCTTGGACATCACTCACAGAGACCCAGTATACACAGGTGCAGATGGGTGTTTGCACCCATATCAGGGAGGGGGCTGCTTACAAATGCCTGGGTACCGACAGATCAGGGGACCAGAGAAGGCCACAGGAGCTGGGTGTGCCCTTCAACGTATGCCTCTTGGTCCCTGCTCTAAACCCTTGTACAGCAGCATCCATTATGGTGGCAGTCGGGGGTAATTTGTGTAGTGGGGAGAGCAGGGGCTCAGCATGGGAGGTGCCTGACTTCAAACCTGGCTCCACCACAGCTAGCCAAGTGGTTCTGAACTAGTAGCTTAACCTCCGTGAGCCTCAGTCTTTTCTCCTGTAATGGTAGGTGAAGCCTACCCCACAGGGAGTGGAGACTGAACATGATCCCACACAGCGGTACTTAGCAGACAGCAGCGTTCCCGTACATGGAAGCTCCCTCCTGCCTCCTCCTCCTGTTCCCCACCCAGCCCTGAGCAGCTCTCTCTTCTCCATCTAGAAAAGAACTTAAATTGAAGAACAAGCACCGCTCCCCCCCGTCCCAACACATACTCCTTGGTGAACGAGTATCTGGAAAGACAAACCCCCATTAAACGAGCAGCTCAGTTGCAGGGTAGAGTAGATAGACACACACACACACACACACACACACACACACACACACTGTTCACACCCAGAAGCCATCCCAAAGGAGTTACTTCTCCCCAGCTCTGTGAACTCAGCATTTAGAACACTGCCCACTCCCTCTGCTTCCTCCATTCATGCGACTTGCTCTCAAATACTGGAGGTTTCTCTTGTGTTTATGTTTTTCTTCCCAAATTCTCAGCAGGAGACCAGCATTTCCCAGCAAACCCATTGCAGCTGACATAGAACCTGTGAAGCAGGGTCTTATCTAATCTCTCTGGAACTTGAACGTAATTTTTCAACCTGTACCACGTGTTTGGGTGAATAAGTCTGAGATGGAAAAGGGCCCACTGGAGCTGTGAGTTGTAGGACAGATCAGATTAGATTAGAGGAAGAGAGGGGACAGCATCTGGGGCCTGGAGAGGGCCCAGGCAAAAGGGGGGAGATGAGGATGTAAAAGATGTGCTCAGCGATGAGTAGGGCAGCCCCAAAGAGCAGGGAGCGAATTCCTCAAGTAAAAGCAGAAGGGTCCAGACCTGGGAAGGAGGGCTTCAGCTGCAGGCTTCTACCTGTGCCCAGGACTGTCCCTGTGGCCGTAGATGACCACCTCCGCCCGGCCCTGGAAAGAGCAGGCTCCTGTGAGAGAGGGTAGCCGGGCCCCTCTGCCCAGCTCTGTCTTTCTCTCCGCTCCCTGGGAAGATGTATGGCGGCAGGCACACAGGCGAACTGGAGCCCCCAGTCGATTATTAACAATTTGTTGCTAAGTAAACCAATAAGAAAAAAATGAAAGGCATTGTCAAGACGCATTTCTATCATTTGAAAGACTCTAAAAATGGAAAGTGAGGCTAATATGATAAGATTTCCCTGGAAGTTGAAAGCGCTGTAGATTTTACTTGCTCCAACATTGGCATTTGTATGCATGACAGTCGGGCCTGGTACTCAGGGCGTGAGGCCCGCAGCTTCCTGTCTTGCAGGGTGCGGGCTGCCAGTGCCTAGATGCTCAGCTCTCAGACGGCCGTGTAGGTTGCAAAGATCTACAAGGGCACCGTCTGGTAGAAAGCCCCTGTGAGCCACAAACGCCAGCCATGCATGTAATTTTACAACACATAGGAGCACATAAAAATAAGAGTCAAAGGAAACAGGTGAAATTAATTTTAATAATATATTGTATTTAACCCAACATATCTAAAATATCATTTTGGCATGTAATCAATATAAAACAGAATTGTTGAGATATCTTACATCCCTTTTTTTTCCACTCTCAGTGTTTGAAATAGGTGCATAGTTCACACTTACAGCCCACCCCAGCTGGGAGCAGCCACATTTCAAGGGCTCAAGAGCCGCAAGTGGCAAGTGGCTACTGCATCGGACTGTGCGGGTCTGGAGGTTGTGGGAGGGGTGGGTGGGAGGAAGTGAAAGCCGGGAGAGGGAGCTGAGAACAGAGAAAAGAAAGGGCATGAGGCTGGAGAGGGGAGAGAATGGGGCCTCCAAGACCCGAGTGTTCCACCCTCCCCATCTCCCTGCGAGGAAACAAGCCAAGGCTGACCCTCAACACGGGCAGGGCACAGATGGACCTTGATGGGGCTCAAGGAGGCTCCAGGTGGCCTTAGAGAGAAGTGCCAGTGGGAGAGGAAGCAGGAGCAGTGTACGTATCCACTCTACTGAGTAACTAATACCACCTGTTCCCACTGCCCCAATAAATAAGCAACCCAAAAGATTATGGGCCGTGAAGGTCCTAGAGGCCCCACACACGTATCAACACATCCCAAGCTCGGAGGTAGTGATACCCCTGCTCCAGTGAGGACTGCAGCCTTCAGTTAAATGATCAAAGCAAGTGACTAAAATCCAAAGGGTCCACCCAGGGCAGCTGGCTCTGTGACCTGTAATGGAAAGTCCCAGTGGTCCATCGCTCCACCTCACAGGAGAAACCACAGGACACACGGGTCATGGGCCCAGGGAAGAGGCCGAAGGTGCGGCTGCACGGACTGGGAAGAAAAGAAAAGTGAGCACATGTTCCTGGCCCAGGGCAGTGCTGGCTGGGAGGGGTCTGAGGACCACCCATCCAGGGAAGTCGTCTTGCCCGTGAAGCAGGGCTCCCACTGCTGTGCTGCAGGCTCCGTCGCGCTGTCTTTGGCTGTCCTGCCTTACTCTCCTGGGCCATTTGTCCCAGGGGCAGCGTCACACCGTGCCCGGAGCCCACTGTCAGGGTCAGAATCTAGCTCCACTCACACTTCCCGGCCAGGTCCTGGGCAGGAAACTTAACAGTTTGGGCCTTTGTGAAAAGGGGACAAAGCCATCATCTCATGGGTGACTGTCAAAAATAGGGACGCGGATGCATTTATGTTTCCATTGTAATAAAATTTTATTTAAAAATCTCCGGAACAATAGAGGCAAGCTCAGGAGAGGCTTCTCGTTCACCACCATGTGCACGTCTGCCTCGCTGCAGCTAATTAGTGCCAACCAGGGAGCATCATCATAACCACCAGTTCCCCAAAGACCAGAGCCTGGAGCTCAGCCTGGGGTGAGCGGATGCCTTTGACCATCACTGATGGTCACTTTGATGACTAACTGGGAAATGCAGCCAAGACAAGGGACACACAGTAGATCTTCATTTAATGGCAGCTAATGATAACTCATGAGGTGTGGCCTGGCACGTAGACGGTGGTCTTGTTGGGTGGGTGGTCTGCACATAGTAGGTGATGGTCTGTGGAGTGGGTGGTCTGCACATACTAGGTGGGGCCTGGGGGTGGGTAGCCGGACTCACCCCCCTCCATGGGCTTATTCCCAACAGCACATCAACAACGAACACATCCACGGGGAGAAGAAGGAGTTCGTGTGCCGCTGGCAGGCCTGCACGCGGGAGCAGAAGCCCTTCAAGGCGCAGTACATGCTGGTGGTTCACATGCGCCGGCACACGGGTGAGAAGCCCCACAAGTGCACGGTGAGTGAGCCCGGGCGCGGCCCTGCCTCCCCGCGGCGTCTGCGGGTCTCTGAGGGCCATCACCTGTCTGCTGTCCCAGACCTCTGATTTACTCTTTCTCGGGGTGTGTGCATCTTGTAACTGTGGTGGGGGTGTGCTCGTGTCCCTGTGGCTGTGTCTGCGTGACCTTGAGCCCCAAGGCACAGCTGTACCCCACAGTTCCCTTGGCTGGCTGACCCCGAGCTGAGGGCTGGGTTGATAGCACCCTGCAGTCTGTCCCCCGCACAGAGAAAAGCTTCAGTGGTGATTCACAGTGTGAGCAATGATGGGTTAAAAATCACGTTGGTTGAATCAAAAAAAAGTGAACACAAAGATAAGACCTTTTAGACAGTCATCCTTATGGAGGCCACAGGATTTGTGACTGTAACTGGTGAGACTCTAACACGCAGAAATCACTCCCTTTTTAAGGAGAAGTGGTCCAGTGATGCACTGATGTGGCTGCAGCTGAGGCCTCTGGGAACTCAACTCCTCCTTCTGGATTACTGTAGTTCATAGATTCTGAGACACACATTTTATTCTCATCTTAACATCTCTGAAATCAAGCTGTCTTAAAATCAGTGGTGTCCAGGATTCAATGAAATATGCTACCTTCCTTTGTTGGCAAGTTATTTTTTTTAATTGAGATAAAATTCATATACCATAAAGTTCACTCTTTTTAAAAAATGTACAGTTCACTGGTGTTTAGTATATTCACAAAGTTGTGCAACCATCACCACTAACTAATTCAAGGACATCTTCATCAGCCCAAAAAGAAACTCTGTACCTGTTAGCAGTCACTTCCCATTCTCTCCTCCCCCTATTCCCTGAAAACCACTAATCTGCTTCCTGTCTGTATGAATTTGCCTATTCTGGACAGTTCATAAAAATGGAATCATACAATGTGTAGCCTTTGTGTCTGGCTTTGTTCACTTAGCATCTTTTCAAGATTCATCCATGTTGTAGCATGTATCAGGACTTCATTTCTTTTTACGGCTAAGTAATATTCTATTGGATGGATAGAGCATGGAGGGGGGTTATCCATTCATCAGTTGATGGATATTTACATTGTTTTCACTTTTTGGCTATTATGAATAATGCTGCTGTGAACATTCGTGTACATCATGTGTGGACATACATTTTCAATTCTCTTATGTATATATCTAGGAGTGGAATTGCTGGATCATATGATAACTCTATATTTAACTTTTTGAGGACCTGCCAGACTGTTTTCCAAAAAGCTTGCACTATTTTAATTCCCACCAGCAATGTGTGAGGGTTCCAATTTCTCCGCATCCTCAGTGTGGTTACTGTCTTTTGATTATAGTCATCCTAGTGGAGTGTGAAGTGGCATCTCATTATGATTTTGACTAGCATTTCCCTAATGCCTGATGATGTTGAGCATCTTTCATGTGCGTATTGCCATTTGTAATCTTCTTTGGAGAAATGTCCACTCAATCTTTTGTCCATTTTTAATTGAGTTATTTTTCTTTTTTTGTGTGTGTGTGTGAGGAAGATTGGCCCTGGGCTAACATCCATGCCCATCTTCCTCCACTTTATATGGGTGCCACCACACCATGGCCCAACAAGCGGTGCATCAGTGCTCACCCGGGATCCGAACCTGCGAACTCTGGGCCACCACAGTGGAGTGCGCGCACCTAACCGCTTTGCCCCCGGGCTGGCCCTTAGTTACTTGTCTTTTTATTGTTGAATTTTAGTAGTTCTACTAGACCCTTATCAGATATATGATTTGCAAATATTTCCTCCTAATCTGTGGGTTTTTTCATTTTCTTGATAGTTTCCTATGAAGCACAAAAGTTTTTAATTTTGATTAAGTCCAGTTTTTTTAATTGCCTGTGTTTTTGATGTCATGTAAGAAACCATTGCCTAATCCAAGGTCACAAAGATTTACTCCTGTTTTCTTCTGAGAATTTTATAGTTTATAAATATATAGTTTTATTTATACAAATATAAAATACATACATAGTTTTATAGGGTAGCTCTTCTATTTGGGTCTTTGATCCATTTTGAGTTCATTTTCATATATGGTGTGAGGTAGGGGCCAACTTCATTCTTTTTCCTGTGGTTATGCACTTATCTCAATCCCACTGTTGAAGAAACTGTTCTTTCTCCCACTAAATGGCCTTGGCACCCTTGTCCAGAATCAATTGACCCTACATGAGTGAGTTTAATTCTGAACTCTCAGTTCTATTCCATTGTTCTCTATGTCTGTCCTCAGGCCAGTACCACACATAATATTGATGACTGTAGTTTTGAAATTGGCAAATGTCAGGCAGGCCTCCAAATCTGTCCTCCTTTTGCAAGGTTGTTTTGGCTCCTCTGGGTCCTTTGCAGCAAGTTATCTTCTTAACATAGCCCTCTGAGTGGCAGCAAACTATAGCCCTCTCATATGGGCTGTGAGCTGTAGAAACAGATAAAGGCTTTTGGAGCCAAGTTTGCTCAGTCAGACTGGTCAGGAATAAGGGGAGAATGTGAAGGGTGAGCTGCGTTTCCATGGCCTCCTGAGGGCAGTTTTCACAGGATGCACCTGCAGCATCTTTGGACAAGGTGCAGAACCCCTTGCAATGACCCTTCCACCCTCCCTCCCTTCCTCCTTCCCTGCCTCACCCTCTTGCTCCCACCTTTCTTCCTTCTTTCCTTTCCAAAAATGTTTCTCGAGTGCCAAAAACGTTTCTTTTCCTCAGGCCCTAAATAATAGAAACACAGAAATTAACAAGACATAGAAGGTACCTGCTCTCACAGAGCTCATATTCTAGTGGGAAGGCCAGGTGACAAAATAAATTAAGATTATTATCAATTGTGTTAGGGAGTATAATGAACAAGGGTAAACTGTATGATTAAGAATATCAGAGAAACGCTCTCGGAGGAGATGACCTAAAAGGCTGAGAAGGAGGGAGCCAGGCCTGGGCCGCGGTGGGGGCAGGGGAGAGGTTCCGGCCAGAGGGGACCATGGGTGCAAAGGCCCCAAGTTGGGAAGAACTGAGTGGGGTCAAGAAACTGAAAGGAGACCAGCGTGGCCAGAGCAAGGGTGAGGGTGGCTGGCTCGCTCAAGGATCAGAGGTCTCTCGATTTTATTCTCAGCACATTTTAATGCACAGGAACGTTATACTCAGGGACTGGCATTGGAAAACAGTTAAGAGTAATATTTTCTAAGAGTTTTTAATGATGTGGGAAGATTCTCACAATGTTCTGTTGATTTTAACAAGCAGAATACATAACTAAATAATTGATATGTTCCCAATTTGGGTTTAAAAATGTCTGTGGGGGTGAATTGCAAAGCCACCAGGAGACTTAACTGGATGTCAGCACTGGCTGTCCCTGGGCAGCCACTAGTTTTCATTTCCCTCTTTGTACTTTTCAGTCCTTTCCAAGTTTTCTAGAGTAGCCATATGTCAATTTTATAATCAGAAAGGAAAGCAGATGTTATTGTTAAAATACATACTCTGGGGCGCACCGGTGGGGTGGAGCAGAGGAGGGGCCTGAGGAGGAGGCAGTGGGCCAGCCTCCGAGGTCAGGTTCCTTACGTTGGATCTGGGGCGCCCTTACTGACTGAACCACTTCTTCCCAGTTCGAGGGCTGCTCGAAAGCCTACTCTCGCCTGGAGAACCTGAAGACACACCTGCGGTCCCACACCGGGGAAAAGCCGTACGTGTGTGAGCATGAGGGTTGCAACAAGGCCTTCTCCAACGCCTCAGACCGCGCCAAGCACCAGAACCGGACCCACTCCAACGAGGTACCCCGGCCAGTGTGCCCCCGGCATGGCATGGGGCCCTGCTGACACATGCATAATGCATCACTCGATGCCTTATAGACATCGTAGGCCATTCGGTAGCCAGGTGCCGGGTGCCCCCCCCTCCCCCAACCGGCTGTCTGAGCTCAGCACACATCCGCAGGCCCTGCCCCCGTTGCCTGGACAGCTGACGATGACATGCTCTTGCCGCTAGTGCTGCCTGGGGGCCTGCCGTAGCTGTCAGCCCCCCGCTGAGGGGGCACAGAGCAGCCTTTGTCTCCCCAGGGAGCCAGAGCCCCCAGCAGGGTTGAGAGCCCAGGGAGGGAAGTTGGGTGGGAGCCCGTGGTGTCTGCTATACTGGTCCCGGCCCAGCCACTCTGTTACTGTCGGTCAGGTAGACTCAGGAAGGAAGGTTTCTAAAAGCTTAGATACATTTTGGTCCCAAAGGAACTTGCTCCAATGCTTGTAAGAAGTCAGAGGAATTCCCAAAGGTATCTGAGTGCCTCAGTCTCCACAGACAAGAGCTAGCCTTGGAAAGGTGTGTGTGTACATGTATATGTGTGTTTGTAATTATGTGTATGTACGTGTGTGGGTGTGTGTTAGTATATGTATGTATGTGGGTGTGGATGTACACGTGGATATATTGTGTGTGTGAATGTGTATTAGTATGTGTATGCATGTGAGTGTGCGTGTACGTGTATGTGTGCACATGTGTGTGTGTGTGTACAGGGTGTGCATCTGTACATGGGTGTGTGTGTTTATAAGTGTGTGTATGCACGTGAACGTGCATGTACGTGTGTGTGCATGTATGTATATATGTGTGCATGTATGTATGTGGGTGTTGGGGTGTGTGTGTCTGGATGTGGATGTTGGGGGTGTGTGTGTATGAGCTCAGCACTGAGGTTCAGAAACCCTGGGTTTTCATCCCATTCCTGGGTGACTTGGAGCCAGTTCCTTTGCCTCTCTGAACCTGTCTTCCTGCATCAGAGAGTTCTAGCGCTGTCTCACAGGTATAATGAGGTAATATACCTGCTACTGATAAAAATCCCAGCACCCTGGTTGCAGGGGAGGCACATGGTGATCACACCAGGCTCTGTGTCCCTCATCCCTCCACAGTCTCTGGTCCGTGTCCCCAGCTTGTGGTGGGAGTTCCCTTAACCACGTGCTTACCTGCAGGAAAAGGTGGCAGACCAGGCCACGCAGGGCCGGGCTCCTGCAGGCCTGGGGCTGGCATGGCTCCATCCAGAGGGCACTGGCTGCAAACAGGTCGAGCACCTTCCCACTGTGCCAGCCAGGCTCTGTCGGAGGACGGGGCATGGCTGTGGGAGAACGGGCAGTGCTCCCATTCAGAGTTGGTCCTCGTATCCCGTCCATGACGCAGGCCTGCTTCCCTTCCCAGAAACCCTACATCTGCAAGATCCCGGGCTGCACCAAGCGATACACGGACCCCAGCTCTCTCCGGAAGCATGTGAAAACGGTACACGGCCCAGATGCTCACGTCACCAAGAAGCAGCGCAACGACGTGCACCTCCGCGCCCCGCTGCTCAAGGAGAATGGGGACAACGAGGCCAGTGCCGAGCCTGGCATCCGGGGCTCTGAGGAAAGTGCCGAGGCCAGCAGCACCAGCCAGGCCGTGGAGGACTGCCTGCACGTCAAGGCCATCAAGACGGAGAGCTCCGGGGTAAGCAGAGCTGGGCAGCGGAGGCCCCAGTCCAGGTCCCCCACCTGCCAGGAGGCCAAGCCCAGCTGGCACGAGGGCAATTCCCTAGCCCAACCCAGGGCCCAGAGCCCCAACTACAGCTGTGGGCTGTGCCCCAGGGTCCCCCCTCTAAGCACACGACGATGTCCCTCCTCTCTCCAGCTCGCCTCTCCTCCCTTCTCACCACCTTAAGCTTCACACACAACCTGTCTCGTGCCAGGGCCCGTTCTGCTGGGCAGCCTACGGGTGACCGGGACGCCTGCCCCCATGTGGTCAGCCTGCGAGGGGGCGGGGGTGGTTCCTGGCGTCTGCCTTTCCAACCAGCACCAGGGCACCACAGCTGGCCCCTCCCCTCTGTCCTGTCTCTGCATCCTCGCCCCTCTGGCCTCCACTCCTTTTGTTCTAACCACCTGTTCTTTGTCTCCACCTCTCTCTCCCGACTGTACCTCCCCTAAGGATAGACGGTACTGAGGTGAGCGGAGAAGCCGGGTGGGGTGTGGGCGGGCTGGCCTGTATGAGGGCGGGCCGGGCTGTGTGTCCAGGGCTGTCTGGGTGGAGACTGACCTGTCAGTCCAGGCCCCTCCTGGGCCTGGGAAGGTGGGTTTGGAGAGGTAGACAGCAGGCGCTGCAGGTGGGACCATCGGAACAGGTAAAGGGTGGCAGCAGGAGCCTAGCTGGCAGGTGCAGGAGTGAACAGTGGGACCAAGCCTGCGGGAGGGACAGGGCAGTGGAGGTGCGAATTCAGGCTGCAGAGGAGGGAAGGACTGACCTACAGAGGGTCTTGAGTGCCAAGGTGAGGAACATGGGTGGTGCCATGGGCAGGAGGGAGCATTGCAGCTTCTTAAGGAAAGTTCTAGAATTTGGGGGCATTCAGCTTAGGAATGAGCCCGGAGGCACTGCATCCAAGGTGAGCCTCATTTGGGCTCAAACCCGAGGTCACAGTGGAGGTAGCCCAGGATCTGTTGAGCACTGCTCTGTACACACGCACCGTGGGCTCTGCCCCACTCCACCCCGACCCAGAGGGAGGGCTGGTTTGGGGTGGCCATTCAGGCAGGGCCGTATCCAACGGTTCCACCCTCCTTGGTCATCCTTTCCCTTTCCAACAACCTGCCTCTGGCCTGTTGAGAAGGCACCAGGTCAGCGGCCTTTCGTTGGTCCTTGCTTCGTCATGCAACACGTCACTGTTGTTGGGAATGCTTCAGTACTCTCTTTCATGTCAACTTCACGCAGCCGCGGCAGCCTCTGTGGGGCACAGCTTCCAAGTGTCCACCTACAAAAAGCTCAACAGGCAGAGCTCTGGGCCACACACCAGCTGGGAGAACTTAGGAGCACAGGGATGGGGCTGACGGTTACTGGGTGCCTTTTGCATGCCAGATGCTTTCCATCCATCCACTAACCCTGTCCTGGAGACAGTTCAGGTCCGTCTTGTAGTTGGGGAAGCCGAGGTTCAGAGAAGGGATACTTTGAAAGCACCTCCACACGACAGCTTCCTTCCCGCCCCCAGGTGTGCAAGGGTGCGGCATGTGTGCAGGCTTGGGTGCAGGGCCAGGCGGGTTCTTGCACCCTCTGAGTCTGCCTTCTCACCACGCCCCTGCAGCTGTGTCAGTCCAGCCCGGGGGCCCAGTCGTCCTGCAGCAGCGAGCCCTCTCCCCTGGGCAGTGCCCCCAACAATGACAGTGGCGTGGAGATGCCGGGGACAGGGCCTGGGAGCCTGGGAGACCTGACAGCTCTGGATGACATGCCCCCGGGGGCCGATGCCTCAGCCCTGGCCACTCTCTCCACGGGTGGCCTGCAGCTGCGCAAACACATGACCGCCATGCACCGGTTCGAGCAGCTCAAGAAGGAGAAGCTCAAGTCGCTCAAGGACTCCTGCTCATGGGCCGGGCCGGCTCCACACACCCGGAACACCAAGCTGCCTCCCCTCCCAGGAAGTGGTGAGTGGAGGCCCCGGGCATGTGGGCAGGAGTGGGAGAGAGCCTGTGGCAGCACCTGTCAGGTTCACTTCCATCAGGCACCATGTGCTGTCTCACTGGATCCCCACAGTAGGACGGATCGCACCAGCCCATTGCACAGATAAGGAAGTTGAGGCTCAGAGGCGAAAGTGCCTCACTCAGACCAGGGAGAGCTGAGACTTAGCACAGGCCTGAGTGGCCCCAAAGCCCCTGCTCTTTCAACTACACCATGCTGCGTCCCTGTAAGCTGACCCTGCTCACGTCATCCTCCTTGTGAGTCATTCAGTCATGTATCAGAGCCCCTCCGTGGGCTCTGTGGCAAAGGCCCTGGGCAGGAGAGCTATATAATCCGGGTCCCTGTGGTTAGAAGGCCACGCCACCAGACACACACTTAACCACAGAATGAGCCAAGAAGCACCGAGGACAGAGCTCAGGGGAGAGCTATGCAGAGGAAGGAGAAAGCACATCAGCTGGGGAAGAGCAGGGAGGACTTCATGGAGGTGGCAGCCCTGTGCTCAGCCTCAGGAGGTGTTGGCCAGGCTTTGAGATGGAAAGCGTCTTCAGGAGCATTTCCTGAGTGCTGACTCTGTGCTGGGCAGTGTGCCAGGCACCAGGCACACCGGGGCTCTCAGCCACCGGGCTGCCCTCAAGGACCCGACGGCCGGTGTGGTGGACACTGAGATGCACCATCCAGCTCTCCCTTGAGGGGAGGGTTTGTTGCCCCAGCTGTTGAGGGAACTGCTGGTAAATGGCCTTCAACTCTCAGCCCCATACAGAGATGGCCTGGGTTGCAGACAGCTGCCTCACCAAGGTCACCCCTTCCTGGGGCGGCCCCATCCCATGACTGATCCCTGCAGGGGTGTAAGGCTGTTCAAGCGCAGAGGCCCCTGTGGGATCAGCCGAGGCTGTCGCCAGGCCTGGGTCGCCCCTCACTTCTCCCTGTCCACCCTCTGCCTTTTCTCCCTTCCTTGGTGTGGATCTCAGGGCCTCCCTACAAGCGTCCTGCTCAGTAAACTCAGGCCCAACGAGCCCGACTGGCAACACCTAACCACAGGCGGTGAGGGTGCAGGGAGGCTGCAGCCAGGGCCCTCCTGGACTCCCCGTGTCCTCCTCTCAGTAACCCAGTCCAATGGAGAGGTACGTGTTACTTGCCCCTGGAGACACTGAGGAGCAGAGACGGAATGAGAAGTCAAGGCCAGCCAGGCAGTGGCAGAGCTAAGACTGGATCGGGTCTCCTGACTTACACTTGCTCCCCCCTTAGCAGTAAGGGCCGTCATTTGCTCACTTACCGTTCCTTCCTTCCCTCCTTTCGTTCGGAAATCAGTGGTTGAGTGCCTGCTGTGTGCCAGGCCCCGTTCTGGGCTCTAAGCGCTGCAGACCCAGCATAGTCAAGGCAGAGCACCGCCCCCGGCCCCCCGCGCTGACCCCTCTCCTTCCCCACAGGCTCCGTCTTGGAAAACTTCGGTGGCGGCGGGGGCGGCGGGCCAGCGGGGCTGCTGCCCAACCCGCGGCTGTCAGAGCTGTCCACGAGCGAGGTGACCATGCTGAGCCACCTGCAGGAGCGCCGCGACAGCTCCACCAGCACCGTCAGCTCGGCCTACACGGTGAGCCGCCGCTCCTCCGGCATCTCCCCGTACTTCTCCAGCCGCCGCTCCAGCGAGGCCTCGCCCCTGGGCGCCGGCCGCCCCCACCACGCCAGCTCGGCCGACTCCTACGACCCCATCTCCACCGACGCGTCGCGGCGCTCG